TAGCGGACGCTCTGCAAGCGTAGGTGCCCACAGGGTGGGAAGCGCGAGCGCCTAGGGTAAGGCTTAAGCATGAGATAATGGAAGAAAGGTATCTCATGTATGAAGATTGCAACAAATAACTGCCAGGAAGGGATGACACAAAAAAGTAGCAAGTCGAAACCACAGACGCCCTGCGGCCTCACGCGGAGAAGAGACGCCATACTGCGGCCTTTTCCGGAGACGGGACGCCTGGTGAATCGTGGCAACCTTGCCCAGTTGGTGGAACCACCGTAACTCAACGCCATGGTCCGTGTGGAGTGTTTATCAGTGGAACCGGGAATTGAAGAGCTGCATAGAAGTCGTCATTGTTCAGGGCCCATCGATTGATACAACGGTAAGGTGGTTCATTGCAGTGTCCTAGGGCGCGAAGGAAGACCTGAGACGCGATGACTCTTAGGGACGAGACGTGAAGCTCAACCGACTCACCTTCGCTGCAGTCCCCTAAAATCCTAAGTTCTTTCCATGGAGACTGTGACGATAAGTGTTTTTTAGTTTCTTGTTTCTCTATTCGACGCGATGAAGCTCCTCTCCTTTGTTCCGCTCATAGCCGCATCGACCTCCACAAACGTTTATGACAGCAAGACTATCGTATCAGTCACCTCCGCCGATGCTTTCGTCGACGTTCGGGATGTCCCAAAGCGTCTCGAAGATGCCAAGGTCGCGCTCAAGCCTGAAATGGCCGCCTTCCTGAAGACGGCAACTATCAAGACTTTGAAGTCCTCGGGCTTGCAGGTGGTTGCTACTTCCGAGGACACAGTGAGCTCCGACGATCTTTGTGCCTACTTGAAGGAGGCGGCCTCCAAACTCTCCGGTCTGGACTGTGAATGCTCTCCTAATTTCGCCACCAAGGAAGAGAACACCAGTAACGATCTCGGCGTGAATGACCCCAATGCTTCCAGGCAAAAGGCATTCAAGCGGATGAACATGGAAGAAGTGTGGAGATTATCTGCGCCCCATGTGAGGCAGACCGTCAACGTAGCCGTTATGGACACCGGCCTCAACTTCAGGGATCCTGAGATCGCTCCTTATCGCGGCGTCTTCCGTAAGAAGAGTGGTGGATTCATCGATGGTGGCTGGAACTTCGTGGACGACTCCTCAAACATAACATCGGCTAATCAGCATGGTCAGGCGTGTGCCAGAATTATCGCGGCAAGGAAGAACAATGACAAGGATATGGCCGGATGGCATCCAACGTACGTTTGGTGTCTTTAAAA